GCTTCTAACTCGTTGTTTGAGACAACGAGAATAAGAAACGCTCCTACGATTAAATCTCCCTTATTCAATTAATTTGAGTAGGGGAGAGAAAAAGAGAGTCCAAAAATTATTTTGTGTGTCAAACAATACACGAAAAAATATTTAAAGTATATTTTCTCACCAAAGAAAATTGTGTAACTTTAAGAAAATGTTTAAAGAAATTTTGAAACACTTATTTTGAGATTGACTCACTAAAATATTTTAGACAGAGAAAAAATGATTTTTCAACTGACTCGAAAATAATTTTTTTATCCCTCATAAAATCAATTATTTTGTGCAGAAGATATTGTCATCCTTACAAAAATCCTAGACTCAATAAAAATTAAAAAATCTTCGGAGTCTTCACATCACTTAAAAAAATCTGCGTAGGGGTGATCGTCAAATTTCATCGCCGTAAACTTCTTGATACGCCTCTTTTCTTTTTTCGGTACGAAAAGTAAATTTTCGATCATCATTTGAATTTCATCATCCTGTTTGTCATTTATCAAAACAAAAAATATTCCAGGGAAAATAATAAAGGGGTTTGAACTCATGTCCAACATGACCGACCAATTTTAGGTGGCACGAATGGTCATCGGTGAGTGCATGACCGGTTTTCAGGGAATCCTCGACCTTCCTTTGTAGTATTTGTAACAGGAGCATCACTTTGTATTTCATGTATTAAGCATTGTAGATTACGCATTTGTATTCCATGTATTAAGCATTGTAGATTACGAAAAACTAGTTCACTTTGTATTTCATGCATTAAGCGTTGTAGATTACGCATTTGAATTTCATAATGTGATTGAGAGATTGACTTCAGTGTATGAATGAATTGGATTAATTCGAATTTCATGTTTTAAGTGTGGTATTTTGCTACTATGTACTATATAGCAGTGTATCGAACATTTGGTTTACACACAATGGACGTAGTGGTAGATTGTTCTTATGTAATTCATAACTGGAATGTATGGAAGAAATCATTCATTTACCAATCAACTGACGTCGACTACCTGAATTTAAATAAAATGCTAGTTCCCAAACATTCTCTTATATAAATTTACTTAATAGCAGTAATGTCTCAAAAACTAAAGTAAAATATAGTTGGAATGTACGTTTTTAAGAGAAATAGTAGTTTACAAGAATTCCTTAACTGATCAACTTTAAAGGCATTACATAATTGTTTTAGGACAATAATGTCTAATAATAATTTTTGTTGTGCAATGTTGTTATGCCGTAACAAAAATTATAGTTTTTTCGATATTTCTAACACATAAATGCCTAACATAAAGGATCATTGTAATGGTTAGTCTCATTTTGCAGCATAATACCAAAGCTAACCAATAATTAATCAGGGCCATGAATTGGATTACTTTGTATTTCATGTTTTAATTGTGGGTTCGATAATATGTTCATAACTAGAATTGGAATGTTGACAATTATGTGACGTCGACACGCTGCTACTACTTAATACATGAAATACAGTGAAGATGACCCTTCTAAATTAAATGAGGTCGACCTATCACAATCGACTTAATAAGTCGACCTATAGTCCCCATTCGACTTACTACTGTTGGCATATATTATCCTACTCCATCCGTCCCCATTTTGATGACAATTTTTTTCTCTCTTCTCGATAACTTTTGTTTTATTCACGTAATTTCATTAAGTATTTGATAAAATAAAATAAACTTGTCACCTCTTGTTTTGTAGATAAAATGATATTAGTTTTTTAATATGTAATTTTTATTTCTTATTGATATACCAAGTTGTAAATAAAATGATTTCCTCGTAACCTACAATTTGTAATCAAATTGGGGAGGGCGGGAGTAGTTAACACTCGAAGTAATCCATCGTTGAAAATGAAGCGATATTTCGTTCCTTTTCCAGTTCAACGCACGCATCAAAAGTCTCGCACACACATTGAGTAAGTACACATTAATAAGTTTTGCTAGTGTAGCACAAAATTGCTACAGTAATGTCTGTACACATTAATAATTTTTTGTTACTCTAGAAAATTTTAATTGATATAGTAACCTCTTCCTAGTTATTGTAAACATTCGCTTCCTTATAAATGGACCAATGTGTCGTTCCTTTTCTAATTCAACGCATCGAAATTGTCGCATACACATTGAGGAAGTACACATTAATAAGTTTTTCTCTTCTGCATTATTTAATTGCTACAGTAATGTCTTCAGTGAAACACATAATTTTGGCCTATAAATTCAACAGATGAACACCCATACCCTCGTTCTTCTTCCTCAATGGAGTTTATCTTATCTAATCCTTCTGTTGTACCCAAATAAAATATTCTCCTCTCATTTCTTGCACTCAGTCACCATTGTGTAATGATTATTTTTTAAAAAGGCTCATATTGGATTTCTCGTATACGCAAAAGGTTCATAATGGGTTTCTCGCTCACCATTATTGATATATCTGGGCTCAGCCTCATCATGGTTCCCCCTATACCCTACACTCCCGAGGGAAGCCAAGGACCTATGTTTAAGCTATACGATCCATTTTGAAGGCCCTTAAACCCATGATCCTCCTCAATCCCTATAATCCAGAAACAACACCAAACCTTAACCATTCTCCCCCTTCTCCTTTTCATCTTGGCCGAACCCATCTTCCCCAAAACCCTACCTCATTCACCCCTCAAGACCATGTTAAAACACACCCAACAAAACCCCCCTTCATAACCCTTAAGTTGGTCGAAAACAAGAAGCCAAAACCAACCCATTTACCCCTTAAAACATCTACCCAACAAGGCCCCCACTATGTCCCCTAAACCAGCCACAAAACATCCATTACTTAACAAAACACACATGGCACAACTTTAACAATTTAACCACCAAATAAACCACCACACCACATGCCAAAACAACACATGCCAATCCCTCCCACTTGCC